TTAAAGAAGATGTTAATAAATTGAGTTAAAGTCTTAAGTTGCTCAAGTCCAATTTCCCCTGGTCAGTTCCATCTGGTTATTATTTACTCACAGTTCTCTGTAATTCACAGAAGTGGAGGCAACGACTGGCTTTGTTCCCAAAAACAAAGGGAACAAAGGCACTTGGGAGACGGAGATTTCCCGGACTCCGGAGGAGTACTTTCTCTTTCCTCTCCCCCTTTCTCTTTCTTTCTTCTCCCTCTCTTTATTTCCCTTTTTCTCTCCCTCTTTCCTCTCTCTTTCCTCTTTCTCTCTCTCTCTTTCCTCTCTCTTTCTCTCTCTTTCCTCTCCCTTTCTCTTTCTCTCTCTTTCCTCTCTCTTCTCTCTCTTTCTCTTTCCTCTTTCTCTTTCCTCTCTCTTTCTTTCTCTCTTATCTCTCTTTCCCTCTTTCCTCTCCTCTCTCTCCTCTCTTTCTCTCTCTTTCCTCTTCTCCCCCTCTTTCTCTCTTTCCTCTCTCTTTCTCTTTCCTCTTTTTTCTCTCTTTTTCTCTCTTTCCTCTCTTTCTCTTTCTCTTTCTCTTTTTCCTGTCTCTCTCTCTTTCCTCTCTCCCTCTCCCTCTCTTTCCTCTCTCTCTCTTTCCTCTTCCTCTCTCTCTTTCCTCTTTCTTTTTCTTTCTTTCCTCTTCCTCTCTTTCTTTCTCTCTTTCTCACTCACTTCCCTCTCCCTCTCTTTTTCTCTTTCCTCTCCCTCTCCCTTTTTCTCTTTCCTCTCCCCCTCTCTTTCTCTTTCTCTCTTTCCTCTTCCTTTCTGTTTATCTTTCCTCTCACTTTATTTCTCTTTCTTTTTCCTCTCTCTCCTCTCTTTCTTGCTCTCTTTCCTCTCTTTCTCTCTCTTTCCTCTCTCCCCAGGTGCGGAGAGAGAGAGAATGAAAGGCAGACGGTGCCGAAGTGGCAGGGAGGGGGAGCAGGACGGGAGGCACTGGCTCTGGTGGCGGCATGGTGATGGCCCCTGCAGAATCGTCGGGGGTCTCCACTGCTCCTGGCCCAGCTGCCGCCCCTGCCGCGTCCTCGGCCATTTTGCCGTCTCAAGAGGAGGGCACCAAGGGGACGCTGCTCTCCCTGCAGCGCGGGTACACCATGGTGGCCGCGCCGGCAATGGGGAGTGCCGCTGCAGGGACGATGGTGGTCCCAACCCGCCGCCGGCCCCTCCACCCTCGTAGCGCAAGGTCTCTTTCTCTTGCACCACTGAGGGCGGCAGCGGCGGCTCTCCGAAAGCGGCCGAGAAAGGCAGCACCGATGGGGCTGAGGTAGGGCCGGGTAGTGGAGAGCCCCGTGGCAGCGGCGGCAGTAGGAGGACAGCGAAGGGGCATGGCTGCCTGGTCACCGCCACCTTTCCGGCCTCGCTCAGCGTGAGCGGTGGCAATAGCGGGAGGACGGCAAATAGGAGCGGCTGCCTGGTCGCCGCCGCCTCTCCGGCCTCGCTCAGTGCAACCGGCAGCAGCAGCGGCAATAGCAGGAGGATGGCGAAGGTGCCCGGCTGCCCGGTCGCCGCCTCTCCGGCCTCGCTCAGCGCGACTGGCAGCAGCAGCGGCGTCGACAGCGGGAGGACGGCGAAGAGGCACCACAGGAGAATCAAGAGAGGCCATGGAGATCCGTTGTCTGCGAGATGGCCGTAAGGCATGGGCGGAGAGAGGAAGCTACCGAGACCCCGGCGACCCCCCGGACTAACATAGGCAGCGGCAGAGCAGGGCAAAGGGAAACCCGCCAGGCAGGGAAGAGGCATCCCGAGACTGGCCACCCGTGGTTCTGCCACCTTTCCAGCAATCCTCCCAGTAGAAGGAGGTGACGGTAGTGCACGTCAGACTTCTTCCTTTCTCCAAACACCCGTCAGGGTGTTTGGTTTCTTCAAGTTGGTTAGTTAAGTTTGAAGTACTCTTCAAACTTAACTAACCAACTTGAAAAAATTAGGGTGAAAAAAAAAAAGTCTAACGTGTACCACCGACTCCTGTCCCTCGGCGTCCTCTGCCGATTTTGAACTGCATGCGGCTGCAGAGCTGCGGGTTGCTGACCCATGCTCTAGTCCTAAATCCATTTTATTATAGCAATAACACTTAGACTTATGTACTGCCCCATAGTTCTTTACAGCATTCTCTGGGCAGTTTACGATGTCACCTTATTGCTCCCAACAATCTGGGTCCCCATTTTACCGATCTTGGAAGGATGGAAAGTTGAGTCAACCTTGTCAGGATCGAACTCCAGCCTGTGGGCACAGTTTGCCTGCAATATTGCATTCCAACTACTGTACCACCAGGACTTGTTATGTAATATATCTCCCTAGTCTTTAATACAAAATAAAATAGATAGAATTTTGACAAGTTCTTTGCACAGATGCGAGAGGAGAAAACAGCAGAAGAAAAGGCAAAGAAATCTATAAAGAAAATAGAAGCAGAATTCCGAAAACTGAAACTGCCACAAATGGTAAGCACTATATTGACTTTCCAGTAAAATGGAATTATAGAGAAGGAGGCTCTGTATGCCACAACTAGAATAGGCAAACTCCAAAGAGGCTTTGATTATACTTAAGAAATAATGTTTTTATTTCTATGTGATCAAAAATATGAAAGGCTCACAAATTGTTTAATTGCTGCTGGTTTGCTGTTAAAGAATATCCAAAGGGAATGAAGGATGAACAGACTGTATAAGTATTCATGTTAGTGTAGCTTTTTTAATTCACATTCATAGGCCCAAGTATTTCCGTGTGTTTGGAGATATGATAAATGTAGAATTTTCTAATTGAGACACTACTTTCTTTGTGTCTTGAAGAAAGGTGGAGTATTCTGTTCTTGATCTGACAATATATATTGGTAAGATTTGAAAAATAATAGCTGTACCATCTCATTTCTAAAATTTGTTGTTAACATGTTTATTACTGCAGTAAAAACTGTTTTATATATTTTTATATAAATACATGAGTGTAGGCTTCTCACCAGCACTGTAAGTGTTCTTGTTTTTCCATATATATTTCTCTGTGTGTGTGTGTGTGTGTTTGTGTTTGCGCGTTGTGTATATATGTATTCATGCATGTATGAAAGACATTGATTCTCTATGCTTGTTTCAGGAAGAAGGGCCAAAGCTTCAAGAACGTCCAGAAAAATGGAGAACAATTGGGGAAATTAAGAAAATGCTGGAAATCAATAGCAATAGACAGGAAAAGGGGTGAGAATTTTGTTTCCTTAATTCTGTAAGCTACCCAGAGCCGTTTCAATAGAAGATGAGTGGCAAATAAATTTAATAAAATAAAATAAAATAAAATAAAATAAAATAAATAAAATAAAATAAAATAAAATAAAATAAAATAAAATAAAATAAAATAAAATAAAATAATAAAATAAAATAAAATAAAATAAAATAATAAAATAAAATAAAATAAAATAAAATAAAATAAAATAAAATAAAATAAAAAATAAGGAGGAGAACTCTGAAGGTTGAAACTATGGGTAAGTCAAAGTTCAAGGAATTACAGGAGACACAAAAACAATCAACACTGAAAATAGTGAGCCAAATAACCAACTTTGAAATGGTATTACTTCCTTTTAAGGTAATAATATCCAGGAAAGCTATTCACATTTGGGGAAAGTTTACATTCCCAACCAACTTTTTTGACAAGGATTTTGCAGTGATCCCAGGGGAACTTATTTCCAAGCAATCAGTGCACTGCAAGTATTTCTGTATTAACTCAGCTTTGTTTTTAGGCACCAAAGGCACCAAGATAAAGAGAAGCTGGTGAAAGTTCAGGAACTCACTATAGTTAAGGAAGAGGAAGAAAATGTAAAGGTGTGTTAACTTATTCAAAAGCCAATATACGGGAGGGGGGATTAAGATCGAGCAAGCTTTTGCCAGCAAATAATATTTTCAGCTGCATTTCCAAAATGTATGGCTTCAATTTCTTCCTGCCACTTTGTTTCTGTCTGAAAGGAATACTGCCTTTGCATGTCACTTACTATTCTAGATTTTTAGGAGAGACAACATATTGTTAATCACACATTTCCTCATGTGATTTATGGAAACTGAAATTATATATACTTAAAGCAGATTATGCAACTGTAGTTGGTTTTGCCCTAGGACCAGGGAAAAGGCAGTGGTTATAACTGTAGTCCTTCTTGGCATACAAACAGTAATTATGATGGAAGAGAATGGGGCAAATGTTGGATTTCACTGTGTGTTTTTTCAGTCAGGTAGCAATTAAAGCAAAAAAACAAATCTGAGGACTCATTAATGGATCATTTAATAGATATCTAAAAAGAAAATAGTTCTAAAGAATAGACAGATTGGCGTATGTTGCTTTTGTGTGAAGCCACTCCTGCAAATCGATTAAATTGGTTGGCCTGGTAACTAAGACTCTTCTCTGGTTAATAGGAAGAAGAGAATCCTGTTTCACGGGCTCGGCTGCAGCAGGACGATACAGCTGTGCAAGTGGAAACTGTCCCTGCTGCATGTGGGTGGCTGAATATAACTGCTCAGGTGAGTAGGAACTATTTTGCAGGCTTCTCCTGCAAGATGGGAAATGATTGAGGCCTGCAGTCCATTATTTAGGTCTTCCCCCATTTGCAAATTGCCACGGCAGAAATATAACTTGTCGATCTCTTTATGTTTTCCTCATGTGTTTCCATAATACTGCCTTTAGCTTATCACCAAGCCATGAAAGAGATTGACCTGAGTTGTTGTTGTTGTTAGTTGCGAAGTCGTGTCTGACCCATCGCGACCCCATGGACAATGTTCCTCCTGGTCTTCCTGTCCTCTACCATCTTCTGGAGTCCATTTAAGCTCACTCCTACTGCTTCAGTGACTCCATCCAGCCACTTCATTCTCATTGACCTGAGTTCAATACTCATAAGCTGAATTGGTGATGAAGTCACCTCATTCAAGCACTGCCCAAAGGAAGCTTCAAGGCGTATTCAATCTGTTAGGCTTTGCCACTACTGTACCTACTTGAAAAGAAATCAAATGGCTGCAACAACTCAGGACAGGATCAGGAAGATATATTGCCTTGGTTTTCTGCCTACCCAAGGGTAGGTGGAGAGCATTTTAGCTCAGCAGTGGAGAAAGGCATGTAAACTGGATGTAGAAAGTATTGACATTGTCCAAGGATTGGAATAGTTTTCCGCTTCTAAATTAGAGGGACACTTCTGTACATATATACCTGTTCTGCTTTCAGATAGACAAACATTGTCGAAATTTATCTTGTGTGATTGTTTTCTTTTCTCTTTTTGTTCTGTCATCACTTAGATACTTTCTGACACAAGGTTTTGCTTCTAGAACTCCATACATTCTTTCTCCCTGAAATGGCAGTAGCTTTGCTGTTGAATGAATATTGAACATTTCTATCATAGTTATCTTTATTTATCAAAATACGTAGTCCCCCATGCTTAACTGGGCCATCTTTGATATACTTTAATGACTTCTTTGATTTAAATCTTATATTAAACAGGAATGAAGGTGAATATATATGTCCCAGGATAATATTGCAGGATCCAATCTGAGTTGGTCACTGGGACCAGAGGTTTAGTCTTCCAGGCTTTCGGACTGTAGGCTCTAGGCTAGAGAGAAGTTCCCTGACGATGGGCTCCAGCACGAGTCCAAAAGCTCAGAGGTCAAAACCTCTGGTCCTGGTGATCGACCCAGATTGGATCCTTATATTAAGCACTTCCTGAACTACATGCCATCTGCAAAATATAATCCATGCAGGGGAGGAATCTCTAATAAAATGAATGCAGGGGAGGAGTCTCTATTTGTGCTGTAAACAATTGTGGGTTCTGCAATATTTGTATATGATCACAAGAGGGCAGAGGAACATGATTGATGAAGTTCACTGATTACTCAGTTGAAGGGAAAGGTTACTGTGCTCAAATTGTTGCTCTGCGAGACATAATCTATGCTTTCTGTGGTCCCATTTTAAGTAAGCATATATGTTAAGGTATTTATAATGAGATCCACAAGTATCTATGATAAAGTATTTTTCCTATATTACTATTCTGAAATGTCAAATAATTTTTAAAAGGTAGTTTGTTTGGAGACTAAAATTCTGGGTATAAGTTGATCTGTAATAGTCATAGCTGTATTTATTTTAATGTGTTGTTATACAAAGGACTTCAGCATTTGCAAGCTAAACATTAAACTGCCAGTTCTGTGGAAAGTACAACAGGTGAAGGGCTGAAAGGATTGAAAATAAACATGAGTTAGAGAATTAAAAGAAAAAAAACTTGGATTAATGTTTCACATTCAAACATCTTCATTTTAGCTAAGCTAAAGATAGAGCTAGATTGTTTGAAGTATACTATTAAATGTCCAGTATCTTACACAAACATAATTTGAATTATGCCTTTATTTAAAGCCTTACTGACTTTAGACACACATCTGTTATAGATTTAAGCAAAATAAAATAATGCAGTATATTAAAAATATGTTAGCATAGTAAGAAAACCTATAGTTATTATTTCAGCCATTTAAGGAGGAAGAGACATTATTTTGATGGGTTTCTGAGTTTGTGAAATATGTTGAAGCAAAGCTAATGCTAGTACATAAAACAGCCATACTTATGTAGTCATTTGTTCTTTTTTAATGCAATTGTTTCCATTTGACATATTAAAATAGAAAATTTGCCTCTACCCACTGTCACCCCCTTACTTTATTTTTAGAAAATTGCAGAACTGAATCACCTGGGTTTTGTGGTTCAGTCATCTGCCTCTTTCTACTTATTCGTTTTTCAGACAGTGATCATTGATTTCACTGTATATTGTTGGTAAAGAGCTTCAAATTCTGTTATTCATTTGTCTGTAAACACATCTGGAGGAGAATAGCAACCTTTCCATAATCTTTGTATACAATATAACTTTTAGCTGCTGCTTCCATGAAAAAGTGTATGCATAAATTTTGGAAAGGCAAGCAGGGTGGTCACAAAGAGCCACTGTTGATAACTGCTGTGTTTGTAACATTCAACCTTCCCTGTATTTTAGAAATGTTATAGTGGGAGTTCCAACCAAGTGGATGCCCAAGATCTGAAAAATACAAAGTCTCTTAAAGTCAATCTGAATGACTATGGAATGGATCTGAATAGCGACGATTCCACTGATGATGAGAGTCAACCTCGCAAACCCATCCCTTTGTGGGCCAGCGGTATATATGCGTCTTTCAGATTTACATTTTACAGCATTTCTTGTATCTTTATGATAAGAGTAAAAGAGGGAAAAAATAGTCAAAATTCAGTAAATTATCATATGAAATAATGATACTGATAATTGGAAAATCTGTATTCTTTTCCATAGTGCCAACCCTTTTAGGCCATTAACAAATTTATGTCTTTGACTTGGAGTGACAAGCAGTTTAATATACTTGTTTGTTGCAGGCCAATTGATTATTATTAGAATTACTGGACGAACTTCACATTCTGGCCATTTTATACATTGTAGAAGTACTTTGGTTGGAGATGGGTTCCTGCCTGAAGAATTACTCACGTATGAAAAATTATTATTTCCTCAGGGGTTCAACTTAATGAAGCTGTTACATACCAGTACTACAATCCTCCAGATATCAACAGGTTATTTGGTCTCATATCAAGCCCTAAGCTAGAGAATATCTTCTATAAAAGTAAGCCAAGGTATTTCAAGCGTACAAGTTCAGCTGTATGGCAATCGCCACCTCTTCCTGGATCCAAACCAGCACTCCGGACGTCCAACAGCATGAAAAAATACTGAAACTATTTCTTGTCTCGCTATACTTATGTTGCATCTGTAAATCATTTTAGTATTTTGTGTGTTATATAATAAAGGTTGAAATGTTATATCTATCTTTAGCGTTTCAGGTAACTATGATTTGCTTCATATTATGTTCCAAGGGATTCATCGTATTTTCTAGTATTTGTACTAATGAGGAAAAAATTAACAGTAGTCACAATCTGATATATTGTTGGTTGGTCTTCTCATTATGTTACCCAATACTAAAAGATTCTTAGCTTTGAGAATTGATTGTTACGCTAATTGCAAGTGCTTCTACCAAGCCATCTTGGATGGTTTATTTCTGTTTTCTAATTCTGTTCTGGCTTATGCATGTTATACCCAAAGTTTTATAATTAGATCAATGCATATAGATTCACTTCCCTAAAAGGATATGATTTTCTGTTATGTGACATACAAAATTGTATAGATTCACAAATAAATGTTTTGCTTGTTTTCTAGAAAGCCAATGAGTTCAGGGATTTTACATTTCATGATTACACTACTTGCTTGTCAAAGGGTAAAGTATAGGTATTTAGTTGAAATAACCTGTATCTAATTTATGATCATCAGTGCCTGCTGTATGTTTCACTGTGCAAAGAGATTGAAGATTTTTCTGCTAGCATCTTGATTTGTAGAGATGTAAGTCTTATTTTCTGCTCTTTGTTTCGGCAATGAAGGGTTTTGCATTCTATATTTTAAATATGGGGTAGCTTCTGCCCCCTGAAATTTTAATAATTGTTCTTTTGATTTCATTTTTGAGGAAATAAATTTTGGGGTTGTTTCATCATAATCAATGAGAGGAGGGAGCAATCCTTCCTTATACTTCAAAATGAAAAATCATCCGACATCAACATACTTTAATTAGTACCTTCTCGTGAGAGGTCCAATTCAAGTAGTGTAGGCAACTCTTAGTTTAAAAAAATATTGAACCAAGTTATTACTAGTTACTGTTCTACAGGGAAAGTGAATCCTGGAGTTGATAGAATTAATGGGAGCAGATTTTCATTGTATCTTTTTTTGTTTTTGTTGCAGACAGGGACAATCTGTTTAATCAGACCATCTTCATTCTTTCTGTGTCTTTTAAACAGTTTTGAAATTAATGGACTAGAGACAATATATATGTCTGCATGATAAATATAAACGGGATATCTATGCATAAATAAAGATGGAGAAGATGTGAAAGTCTTTAATTGCCTTCAGTTTGCATCCCTCTCTTGTTTTGTTTTTCAACTATTCATACTAACCGTTATAACTTGTATCAGAATAGATTTCTTTGCTTTTGTCTGTTCCAATTTGGATATGCTTAACCACAAAGCAGAAGGAAGAAAAATTTGAATCTGCGTAATGATGGAAAGCTGTTTGGTAATTCTGGAAAAGAAGAAATAGAGACCAAAAAACCCACAAAACCCTTGTTCAAGACTGCCTACTAGGATCATGAGTCACCTCAAACATCAATAAAAAAGCCCATTCCAACTCAGCATCTTTTGTTTGCATAAATTTGATACTTTATGGGCATAATGTAATTTATACTTTAATCTGTATTTAAGACTGCAGATATTGATTCAAAACTAATGGATTGTATTTCTTTGTACTTTACCAATTGTATAATTGTGTGGGAGATTTTTTTTTGTATCTGAGTAAAATGGACAGGGCAGCTAGCATTGAATGATCTTTTGATATAAAACACAGCAATCAATTGATCTCTGGAAAAATTAAGAGAATCCAGGTAATACCTATATTAAAAGGATTGCATTTACTATCAATTTGTTCCTGAACAAAATTCCATAGTATTAGTTTTAAAATCTCATATGGCTTGATTTCTGGATAATTAAGAAAATACATTTGGTTCCCCATTCTTTGAGATTATCTGTGGTTACTATGGACTTGTCTCACACAATAGAATCAATCTTCCCTATAGTCAGGCATCCTAATCTCTTTCTTACCTTACAAAATGAGGTCATAAAATCACATTTTTTTTAACTGGGTCAAGGATTTTAAGTGATGTTTTTTATATCCCTGTGATTAACCTTGGCCTTATGTTTATAGGTAGCCTTCACTTAATGACAGTAATTGAGACCAGAATTTCCACTACTACTAAGAGGTGTGATCAGAAAGCATGATGTCACATGGTTGCATTGTTTAGCGATGGCCATTTCAACATGTCAATTGGTCATTAAGCAAATCCCATGCCATAAAGTGGAATATCATATGCAAACCCTTACTGGCTTTTCCATTGACTTTGCTTGGCAGTGAAGGTTGCAAATGGTGACCATAGGACACTGCAATATCATGGTTGTGAGTTGAGCACCAGGCACCCAGATCATGATCATATGACTGTAGGGTGTCTGTGACTGTAGTAATTACTGTATGGCAACCTGTTGTATGTACCACTGGTTCAGCACCATTGTGAGTTTGAATAGTTGCTGAATTAGTGGTTGTTAAATGAGAATCACTTGTACTGTAAACTGCTGATAGATTAATAGTCATTTCAGTCATTACATATAGGTTGCTGTAGCTGCCTGCACTTATAGTCTCTGCTAGAGTATCTTGTCATTCTCTCCATTAATAATTAAAGAGCCTTTATATTGCTACTGTCTCTTTAGGACTTGAATCTTCATGTTCTATCTAGCATGATAGTAATTATATTTGTCAGCTTAGTAATGTGACAATGACTAGCACTTACCGATAAAAATAAAACTCTGATACATAATGACATGTTAAACAGTGCATGTAAAGAAGGATCTGCCAAGGTGTTCAGCTGTATTATAAGTATGATTTGAAATATCATATGCTTTTGCAAAAGGCAACATTTTCCTTAGAATGTACTAAAAAACAGAATAACTGACGTCCGAAGCTTCTTGTGCATTATCTAATGAGGAAAACTGCATTTCTGAAAGAAAATATGGACAGCATTACATAATTGCCCTTACAATGCACAGTTAAAAGGAAGCAAAACTAAAAACAGTTTTGTTTAGAGGTATGCCTTGCCCACATGTATCTTGGCAAACTCACAATCATCCCAGTGTGTTGAATTCAAAGGGCACAATATTCCTTGCCATTTCTAAGCTCTAAGGGATCTGTAGAAATCTGTTTAGAAAGATGGCACAAACCTAGAGATTTGCTTTACTTTGCTTCTGAGTGACTGAAAACAACTAGATCCTATTGCATTTCTTTCAGTAAGGAGGAAAATGTGAGAATAATACTGGGCACACCTGTGAATGGCTGGACACATCTGGTACAGTGCAAATAGGAACAACATAACCCAATGGGCAGAGGAGGAAGTATTATGAGTAAAAATAGTGCTGGGAAGGTGATGACAGCTGCAGAGAGCAGCAGGAAGGAATTAGAAAGTCAGCAACCTCACTGGGCCTCAGAAAGGGTGTGTATAAATCACATTCTAGTTGAGGCTTCTAAGGTTCATTTTCATCATACTTGGAAGGCATTTGGTTAAAGGCTTAGACAGACATTTTGCAAGGGGATAATGCTTATATAACAGGAAATAGAACTTGGGGGGGAAAAGAAATAACCAGGCATATAAAAGAAACCCTTTGGTTTTATTAGCCTTTGTATATTGTTTTTTCTAATGTAATTCCCACACAGGTTTTATTAAAAATTTGGATGCCAAATATTTTCTTGTTTTCAAAAAGTACTACTCACAGTTGCATGGAGAGAAATGTATAAGATTAAGTTGTGGGAAACAAGTATATACAGTATGTTTTGCTCTTACAAAATTTGCATTCACTTGCAAAAATATTTGTATTTAAACATGACTGTAAATCTAAAAAGCAAGGAATGTCACCATAATTTTTTTAAAAGTTTTTTTATTTATTATACAGTTAAAACAAAAATGGACATAACGTAACATTCCAGTATACGTATTTCTAACAATTCGTTCCGCTTCATACATATAGTTCTTAATCTCTATATATGCATACATATTTTCTATACAATACAATATCTAATTTATTTCTCTATATACTAACATACAATTATATATATTCCTATCTTAACACTAGCTTATAACCCAAACAGTCCCCCTTGATTCACATTAATTTTTTTTAATGGCAAAATGCAACAAGCAATTACACCACCAGAAAAAAATACAATACTGGTTATATAATACATTAAAAAAACCTACATGCATTAGAGCCATCAAAATAAACTGAACATAGCAAAAGGAAAAACTAATACAAATAGAGTCATATAGTATTAAATTTAATATCCATATGGAATTACTGTAATTAAGTCCTTAAGCTGGTCAATAAATCTAGAGCAGAAAAATATTTCAATGTGGAAAGTTATGTATATTAGGTATGAATGGGTGATTTATGGCTATAAAGATACAGAGCACAGACCCATGTCCTTACATGCTGGCCATGAAAATTTACTCACTCTGTTTACTCACTGAGTATCTTTCATATACTGTAGGACAAATGGTTGTTGTCCTTAGTTCAGGCAGAAAGTAGAAAAATAGGAATAAGAAATCCTCTCTTGGTATCAAGGAAATTTTATCAGATCAAGTATTTTGTAAACATTGCTAAATACAGCCTGATTATGAAAAATAAAATGATTTTTTCTTTTTTTAAAAAAAAACACCACACTGGTGATTTATGATTGGGCTTATTCAAAATTAAATCAAGACCAGAGGTGCCAAAATGTGTGGGCAGGAGGGGAATAACAGACTTTGAGCCAATAGCACAGGATGGTATATCTGCACAAATGCCATTTCAGGTATCTCAGTTTAAAATTCAAACACAAAGTGGTTATGCAATACAATACAAGTTAACACAGAAATTTTAGGGGGAAATGGCATCTAATAATATGGAGAAAATTACTACTAAATAAATAATTTTAAGCATAACTCATAAAATTCAAACAAAATAGTATTGCTCGGTATAAACTCTTAGTCATCTAAATAATTTAATTTAAATTATTGGATATGTTCTCTGCCTTGAGCTATTTGTAAAAATAATAAGGTGGGATATAAATAAATAAATCTAAAGATAACAAATACTGCAGCACCATTTGAACCAGTTTCTTCTCCTTTTGCAGTAATTTTGAAATAACAATTTGAAGTGAAGCTGTTTGATTTTGAATTTCATTGTACTTGACAGCATTGTCAGATTATGTTTGCACAAAATGCTAAACAATAACCGATAGTTTATACATTCTAGTGGTTATGTTCATATATTAAGACCAAATAGATTAACTGTGTTATGCACAGTTAATATAGCTCAATTCACACAGCATAC